AGNGTGCGTTTTGCACAACCGTAGAGAGAACGAATCGCTAATTTCATCTAGTGGTCCAACGCTGTTCATAAATAAAGGAATTGCGAAGCCGGCGTTCGATGTCGAAGGTGAAGGTATGGCACGATTCAGCGCATGCAAGTCAAAGTTGAGGGAGCGCGGAAAGTAGAGAGAGTAGTGAGAGATGTGCGACGAGAGTTACATAACGTTTGTCCGGCATTTTATTTGACGGACATGAATGGCTGATGTGGGTCTGTTCAGGTTGCTGCCCCTGCTTGAAAAAAAATGTCCCACTATTGTCTCCTTGCCACCCGACCCAGTGCATCGTGATTCTCGCCCGTACTCTACTCATGAATGGGCTTCTGCTCACAACAGCCCCAACCCTCCAGAGTTCTCCCGGCGGCGTCGCAGACCTCGGCATGCAACTCCGCGCTCCTCGCTTTCCCTCTATCGCAATGGGGGCCCGCCAAAAGTGAATGACAGGAATGTTTCAACATTGTTCGTTATCCCCCAATCCCCCCCCTGTACGCTGTTTTTGCTGACATGCACCGCGTAGATCAAGTCGGTGCCCAGCCGATTGACCGACCTTGTAGCATGACGACTCTGCACATGCGACATGATGAGCCGATAGTAACGAAGAAGCAGGCTGGAGAGCTGAAGACGCTGATGCAGCAGCTGATCCCGGATTGCAGCCAAAAGGTGGAAAATGGCGTCGTGGCGTCGGAGCTTTCACCGATCTTCCAAGATCAGTGCTGAAATAGTACATCTCTCAGCAACCGGTGTCTTGTTTTCATTCACTTTATCAAAAGATTACGATGACCGCAATGTTCTCAAGGGACAAGCCCATCAAGAAGGCAGTTACCCAATTTGTCAAACCGAGGGACAGTAATTCGCGAGACTGCCTCCCATTTGGCTTTGCCATCCATAGTCCGTGACCATTCTTCTCAAGAAGCATACTGCTCTTGCATCGCGTCGTCAATCGTCTCGGACTTCCCTGGGTTCTGCAAGCCAACCACTCGTCCGCAAAAGATTTGTTCCGTACTTAGACGGATTATTGCCCACTGCCAAAGCACTGGGCACTCTTGTCGAGCGTCTTGGGGAAATACATTTCCCTGATTTGGTTCCTGGTTTGTTGCGGACTCTCAAGACCGGCATGGAGCGCCTAGAGGGCCTCCTCCCAGATATTATCGCAAATGCTCGCTCACCTCGGCCAACTGTTCGCGAAGGATTCATGTCACTTCTCGTCTTCTTGCCTGGTACGTTTGGCACTCGATTCCAACCACATCAACCGAAAATCATTTCGCCTATCCTTGGTGGTTTGTCAGACACGGAAGAGTATGTTAGAGAAGCGGCCATGCGTGCTGGGAGGATGGTTGTCACCAACTATTCATCCAAGGCTATTGACCTTTTGCTGCCTGAGTTGGAGCATGGTATGTTCGACTATGGTTGGAGAATTCGGGTAAGTTCAATGCGCCCCTAAAAAGTGCATTGCTAAATGTCTGTTTCAAGCAATCATCCATTACACTCGTTGGAGAACTTCTCTTCAAGGTATCTGGAATCTCAGGAAAGGCCTCCGAGGTTGAAGAAGAGGAAGTTGCGGCAGGTGCGACAGCCGAGTCGTCTCGTCAAGAAGAACTTGGGGCGAAGGCTATTGATCAGACGATACCCACTTTGTTGGAAGCGCTTCGTCAGCCTGGAAAGGGTTCTGGGACTGCTCTTGAGGCGTTGCGAGAGGTCATGGTACACATGAACTGTGACGAAGCCATAGAGTCGCTAGCCTTGGCATGGTTACTTCGATCTGGTATGTTTTGCCAGCCTCCTTTCTAGCCGTATTGCTCAAAGTTCTTTAGCGCCTCCTGAAATTGGTGAACTCATCGGAACGCGAACATTCGAAGCCCTTTCCATCCAATTCTATTGGGTCCATTTCCATATATGATGCACTCTAATTTATCCGTCTTAAGATTGGGGTTAAGCCTACCTTTGCATTGTGTTTTTATCGTATCGGAGTCGACGTACTTCTCTTGCAGATACGCAAATACTAGGAGGAATGGCTCCGCCGCGGAGCGCGTGTACAGTTCGTGTTAACATTGCCTCATGCAACGACGACCAGAGCGAAGACCAAGGTGACCAAACATTTTCTCCGAAATCGTCTTTATGGTTTACTGACCAACTAAAAGACAAAATCCAGGCGGAGGATCCCAGCAGAGGCCCTAACCACTGACGATTGACTGGTGACTGCTAACCAGGTGGACATCCAGCTCTTGACCACGGCCGGCGATGGAACGGCGGAAGGCGCATTGTGATACGGAGGGACGAGTGAGTTGGGGTAGGGCTTCGAAAATTCGATGATTTACATCGTTTTCGTCGCTTCGCACCGATTAGGCGTGCTGGACCAGGTGCGCCCCAACTCTCCAGAGTTCTCCCAGCGGCGTCGGAGACCTCAGCATCCAACTCCACGCTCCTCCCTTTGCCTTTATCGCAATGGGAACCCGTCAAAAGTAATTGGCAGGCCATCGTTTGTTATCCCCCACTCTCCCCCCTGTACACTCTCTTTGCTGACATGCACCACGTAGGTCAAATCGGTACACAGCCAATTGCCCGACCTTCCTTGTAGCACCACGACTCGACACATGCAGCATGATGTCCCGAAGACGCTGCTGAAAGAGTCCATCTCTCAGCACCCGGTCTCTCGTTTTCATTCACTTTATCAAAAAATTGACGACCGCAATGTTCTTAAGGGACAAGCCCATCAAGAAGACAGTTACCTACTTCGTCATAATGTAAAGGACAGTAATCCGCGAGACTGCCTCCCCGATTTGGTCATCCCGTTGAGCGCTGCAGAAGGAGTTCGCGATGGGTGCCAACGAACCGCTTGCACGTAATTATGTAAGGAATCAACACACCATCAACTCTGTCATACTCTGCTCATGCTACTTCAGATCTATATTGTCATATTCAAGGCCTTCACGCTGACATGCTTTTTGTGCAGCGATCTGTGGGGCGGTGTGTACTGATTAGCTGCTTCCCTCGACTTGTGCTCACTACATCAGTGATTCTATCATAGTGATATCTGTCCGCCTATCGTTTCGTTGCTGACAATGCCCGTCTTTCGCAGCCTTGGTAGCGTCACTTCGATCTGGTACGCTTTGTCAACCTCGTTTCTAGCCGCAAGTTCTTTAAATTTAGACCCTCCTGAAAATGGTAACTTCTGAGGGGATGAAAAGATCCACGCTACGACGGACTCGCGACCTTCCTTACCATGGTGGAAGATGCGAAACAAGTCGTCATTTATAACACATAACAATCCTACTAACAATCTACTTGAAAGCAATGGAACACAAGGTAGAACCGTCTATCTTGATTTCCATAACCCTGCTGGGCTGTTCATCCTCATTGCATGCGAGACACTCTATGACCCCTTGTAAAGAGTCTGATAATTCTTGTACCCACTCAGTAAGAGAAGCCATCGTCTCCGCCAAATTATCGCTCTCCTGTTGAGGGAAACAGACCATGAGACAAAATAAAGAGAAAGAAAAGGAGTGAAAGAACCTACGGAACTATCACCTTCTATATCAAATTCGGACATGGGACTCGGGCTGGTGTTCCTGGAGCTGAGCACCATGGGGAGATCCTAGATAGTTGCTGAACAAAGTTGCACGAGAAGGGCTGCAGGAAAAGTACTCACTTCCGTGCGATACTGATGCTGGTGCAATCCAACAAACACGGAAGTCGGGGGACTGTAGTCCACGGTAATAGTCGAGGATTGATGTCGTTAAATTCGTTAGGGTATAGTGTCTGTATCACTATCGCACTATTATCTACCATAGTTAGCATTGATAACAACATTTATTATCATAGTCAGCGTTGACCGATGTCATAAATTAGCATTCTTAATAATTATCCAATAGCTTACTATTATAATTAGTATTATCTATCACAGTTAGTAGTGATAACAACAATCATTATGCTACAGTGCGTAGCTTACTATCATGATGTCATCTACAGCTAACAACAACAACTATTATATTACATATTAATGTCCATTATTAATAATTATTCACTGACAGCTAATGAACCGGTCTATTGATAGGTTGGCTGGAAGTTACCCTGCCACCCCCTTTCTCTAACTTTTAATAATAGAGCTACCAGATTTAACTATAACAGCTGCATTCTTTCTTGAAAAATTTAAAATTTACCTCATCTAATAATTTTTTTTTTCTTTTTCAATGTGTTTCCTGGGCAAATGCCAAGTTTTTTGATTTTTTTTGATCATTCACTATACTTTTGCATGGCTACACCAGGCTTATTATAAATGGTACTGCCAACAAAACACTGGATTCATTTTGAAGCAAATGGAAGCATTACATTTTAAATGTGACCAAAATATCTCTTTCATGTGCTGCTGGGGCAAATTTGAAGAATGTTTTGTATATAATCAGAATGTTACCATCACTTCAATGTTGCTCTCATGATAAATTTCTCCAGCATGTGCATGACAACCACATCTTGCCTGCATGATGGGTACATTTTTTCTGTGGCTTTTCAATTTGCCCCCTGATTACATCGGATGCATTTCATTTGATATGTCATATACATGTGCCCAGCAGTCCCATGTTAATTGCATTTGTGTGTGCATATTTACTTTAGCATGGTGATACATCAAGCATGTGACCAGAATCCGCCTATTGGGCACATTGTGGTCACATATTAAATAAACAAATCAGCCACATATGATAGCCCATTTTAATGGGCATATTTTTTCTGTGGCTAGGAATTCCATGATATTTGCATTTTGGAGCTTACTTGAATTAAATTTCAAATGTGCATGGTAGGCATATGGGAAGAATATGGGAGAGCATTAATGCCTCCAATCGACATTTGCTTACTCATGTGCCCATTGGCCAAATAGCCGGTTCTCCCCTGTGACATGGCCTTGTTGCAACTACAAACATGCAACTTTGACACAAAAGTATGTCTCCCAAATTTTGAGCTTCTTTCTTACAACATAAAATGGCCATCCTCAGATGCGCGTGATGATCAAGTCCCACAGGCCACCACTCTAGAAACACACTCAAGTGCTCGTACGCGACCAGTCAGTGTAAACCAGGACTAATTGAAGCACTATCCGACACCCCTCACATACATCCAACATATGCACATGGCTTCGACCCTCCTTCGCGCTCCCTCGCCCCTTCAGATCTTCAGATCCTAAGTAATCCCGCCTTCCGAGTTTACATGGCCCACCTCGCCAGCATCCATCCCTGCATGCAGAGCCTTCGCAAAGAACCTCCTCCGCCCCTCCAAAGTAATCCTCCAAAATTTCCCTTCCACCTCAATCCCCCATTCCACTTCGAAAGCCTCATCTTCCGCCTCAACTGCCTCCCCCCCACTTTACATCTTCATCCCTATCCTCATACAAACTTCCCTCTACGCTTCGGACAACACAAGCTCTGCCTCGTCACTTCCACGTCCTTCCTCCATTGTCAGAATCAACGTGTTCGATGCTGGGTGGGCGCAGGCTGCAGCTGAGGGTGATCAGTTTCCAATGGAGAAATGCCAGGGTTTCTGTGGGACTGAATGCGTGAAAGGAGGGTGGGATTCAAAAAGGGACTTCGAACACAACTTCTGCTCCACGCAATACGCACATAACGAATCACCGGCTGGTTGTGCTTCTCAAGCCCAATCTCAGACGGCGGACGCGAACGATTATGTGGAGCATTTTCGTCAGTTAAACCGTTGCCCCTGTATCGTGCCTGGTATGGGCGTCGTTCCCTCTTGGGATTCTTCGACGTCGACTTCATCTTCGAGGGTGCCATTCACTGCTGCTACCGTTTGTCGAGTTCGTCTTCGACCCCCCACTCTGTCGAGTTCAACTTTGGATTCTAAAAAATGGAAAGCAGCATGGCAGACTACGCCCACAAAGCAACCACCACCGGCTCCATCTACCTCTCTAGTTCTCCACCATCTCTGAACACGATCTGTACTGCCACTACGTCCCGGGTCGTCGGCAAGCGACGATTGTACTTTCAGTGTGCTTGAAGTCCTTTGTCCCAGTCGTGCTTGAGTGGATGGTGAACCTGCGTGATGCTTTCATTCTCAACATCAGCTCAGCAGAGCTTCGGTTCTGGCTTGTATGAGATGTCAGTGCACTTGCGGAAAATCAAGGTATTTGTACCAACGATTTCGGTGGAAACGTTGACTTTTCAGACTGATATCCGCATTTCAATAGGTTTGAGTACGGCATTCAGGCGTCGTCGGTCGTAGGTGGTTGAAAGTGACTGTTCTTTCGCTTCAGTCGACCGGCGTAAAGAACAATACATGAGCTCAAGTTTGCCACCATCCATGAAGTCGGAGATCAATCTGTTTTCCAACGTATGTGCTTTACTCACATCTGTGTTTTTTCTGTCTCATCAAAAGGTTGTCATTTAGATAATATTTTGTACCGAACTAGGCATGCGTCAAAGAAGCATTGATATGGCTACAGCCGCGTGGTGTGGAATGCTCGGGGTCAGGACTCTAGTAAGTCCTCATCAATCATTGGTAGAAGTTCACGGCGCTAAACTGCTAACTGTAACTCTAAGCCGTCATGCTGCCCCATCGTCGAGTCTGGCGTCTGACCAAGTCAGTTGTACATGAAATTTTACACCAATAAGCGGATGCTGGAAGTGCGCTGCCTCCCTCTAAACACCTGCCTTTGCTGCAGTAGCGGTAAACGACTTTCCAGATTTGCCACTGTCTAAAGCACCTCATGAAGACACTTAGGTAGCTCGTTCCTTCCTCAGCCCCCGAGTGTGCGGAGATTTCGACCTTGCGCCCTCCACAGTGAGTTGTCTCTTGCGCTTCGCGCCTTTTCTGAAGCTGACTGTTTTTACCATTAAGGACATCGTGACGGTCACCACCATCTGACTTCTTGACCACTGAACGCAACATACCCTTCCCTCACAAAAGTTTGCCCTCGGTTTGAATGGCAGCCACTGTCATATTTTCTACTTTTACGAGCAGGACATCGACATTTCAAGTCGAGGTAGGTCTTTTATATCCATTCTCACTTGTCTGTATGCTTACCAACAACACACTTAAGATTACGACGACAGTCACGACACCCAATGGCCTGACAGTTCAACGTGCTCAGTAAGCCCTCATCGACGGGAGCTCTTCCTATCTGGTTTACCAATCAGTTACCTTTCAGGCTGCCAGGCAAGCGCTCCTCACTGTTCGGGATCGGCCCAATTTTATCCGAGGGTTTCTCACCGCCTGCTTCATATCCAGCGCCCAGAAATACGTAGACGTATGGTGCTGCTTAGCGCGGAACGGAAGAAGCTGGTCTGTGCGGTTAGGTGGGTCGAGTGTGATGTACGAACCATGTATACTTACCTTGGGTTTTTTATTAGGGCAACGGGAAACGACACAATGGACGTCGATTATGATGCAATCACCCCACCAGCCACAAACCCTTGTCCGAGACTAGTCGGAAGGACATCTGGACACCTACATGACCTCTACACTAGCCATGACGTCGGCAAACTGGAACTACAAATCACTCTTTATTATCTTCCGCGGACGCTCCCCGAGGCGATCCCCACCTCAACCCCCCTTTTGAAGACGGTCGTAACGAACTGATGACACTACCAACCTTTTATTCTGTGCTGTGAATCTAAGGCAGAGACGTCTACGGCCCGGGGTCCAATGTCGCAAATGGTGCGTATTCCTTGCTTTTCATTACAACGGACTCAATAGCAACCAGCTACTGCTCAAGCGCTCACAGGTGATACCGTCACAACCTCTGACAGTCACGCCGAGCGCCTTATCACACACCATCACTCTTGAAACGAGGCTAAAATTTCTATATCAATCAGTCTTCCCTCATTCCTGCCATTCAAAGCATGTTCCAAGCGCTAAGCATCTCCCCTTCACCAAAACCACCATGTCTACCGCGAGGGGTAGCTCAACGGGAAGCCCCAGCATGAGATACAGGAACCTCTCAGATTTGCCCCGGA